ATCGCTACTAGGAGCAGGACGCTACTAGGGGCTCCTGGCATCGCTACCAGGAGCAGGACGCTACTAGGGGCTCCTCGCATCGCTACCAGGAGCAGGACGCTACTAGCGGCTCCTGGCATCGCTACCAGGAGCAGGACGCGACTAGGGGCTCCTGGCATCGCTACTAGGAGCAGGACGCTACTAGGGGCTCCTGGCATCTACTAGGAGCAGGACGCTACTAGGGGCTCCTATCCTTACTACTAGGAGCAGGACGCTACTAGGGGCTCCTATCCTTACTACTCGGAGCAGGACGCTACTAGGGGCCCCTGGCCTTACTACTAGGAGCAGGACGCTACTAGGGGCTCCTGGCCTTACTACTAGGAACAAGTAGCTTTGAGATTTGAGTCCTGAAACCTTGGTCATGCAATAACGAGATTTGATCAAGCCAAGGCTTGCTTGAGGATTGATGATGGCCAAAGTATGGCTAGGAGCTGCATACAGAAAACGGTTTAATTACTTAGGATGTGCCATAGTCGGAAGGTCAAACACAGATGTGGAGACACTTGATTGTCAGCGTCGCTCTCTATCCATTTGAATCCATTTGCAGTCAACACGGCTGCCAAGACCGACGTCACCACAGAAAAGCCGCCCTACCGCCGTCATGAGACATCGTTTTTGCGAGGCCTTGCCAAAGCGTCCAGTAACTTCACCTGAAACCTCCGCGGCGTTGCCGGAGGCGCGACTTGCACATGGCGTTAAGGATTTGTATGCGCCAAGCTGCCAAGCCCAAGCGTTGAATCTAGTTTGGTTGGAGCAAGCCTGCTATAGAAAGGCAATGCATGCCCTTAATGTATATATATATATATTGTGTGATTCAAGGACGTATTATTTCAGAACATGTTATTTCTCACAGTAATGAATGGATATTTCTTTCGGGAATCATGTGAGTTGGCCTGACCCTATGGCCACCATGTTTTTCTAGCCAGGTTTCAGCTCGGCTTGCTTTCTCAGCAGGTGCCTTCGGCTTGAAGTGTTTGTTCTTATTTATTTTACAGTCGCATGTGTTCAATTATGTTTGCGAATGCGTTAGATGTGAGCCACAGCTATTCAGCAAGAACGCCACTCAACAACCTGACCAAAACCTTTTTCACCAAACGTGGTTCTTAGATGTTTGTGGATTCTTTGTGGATGAGGTCCGCCATGTCAAGAGTCGTGTCGCTGTTCTTTTGTTTGCTCTTTACACTTCTTCAGACACGCTCTGCGTGGAGACACCTTCCCAGGCTACCCCTGCCAGTACAGAAAACAGTTGTATGTATGAATACATGTGTTACTAGCTGCTTGGGACGATTCAAGTGAATCCAAATGAAAGGTTGTGTGTAATTTCGATTTTGCTTGTTTGGTCGCCCAATCCTCCAGGTGTGTTCATGGGCTTTTTGGGTGATCCACACCTTGAGGCTCCTATGGTCGCCGGAGGGCTTTGCGAGGAGGGAGGAGACCGTGTTTGCATATTGCAGTTTTGAGGGGAAACAGGGCTCTCGGTTATGACATTTCTTTCGGATGAAATGTTGCCCCTTTGAGCCAAGGACACGTGTTCATGCTTTGGGTTTGACTCGGGAATCGACTACCTCCTCACAGTCCTCCATTGACTCCAGTCCTGGACGCAGAGAAGGTCACCTGCAAAAAGCCAAGAAGTTCAATGAAAGCGCGTGCTGTGTTTGAGAAGCCTCATAGATCTTGCAATGGCTCGATCTTTGGGCATCCTGTTTGCTTGTTGCAGGGAGTGCTATCCAGTTTGTGCGTGTTTGTGTGTGTTGGACATTCCTTGGCCTTCGCAACAAAGTCTTATGAGTCAATGCCAAGGCTTGAGATAAAGCAGTTCTCCACATGCACAGCATTGCTTTTCTAAACCTAAGCATGGTTGTGTGGAGTGCTACTCTATGCTAAGCTGCAGGTTCCAGGGCTCCGTCTTCATCCAAGAAGCTGGCCCAGAGACTCTTGTCGATTGAGACAGGAAAAGCGGCACCAGGGTCCTCCAAGGTGGACATTTGGTCATTCCAACATTCCTTTGCATCATGTGAGACCAAGGAATGGCCAATTTGGCTGGGAGGCTGCATCATAAGGTGCGCATTGTACCTCCCCCCGACCTACACATGACATCCAACATTATTCTTCTTTATTGTGAAATCCAGAAACTACTTAAGTGTTGTCGGACTGGCGACTGTGAACTGTCACAATGTAGTCACGTCATCGCTTGTTCATTGGTGCTCGAGGTGTACAAGATCAGAGCTGCCAGCAAAGGTGCATGTGCTTTAGCACCTAAGCTGCAAATCTCCGCGACGTCTCCAGCAGTCATTACAGCATATTACAGCATAATACAGTCACATCACCCAGGCACATTCTTGTCGAAAGCGGCTGACCATGTCGAAGATGACCCGGCAGGAGGCATGCAGGGCAGGGTGTCACATCTTTGCTTCCTTGGATGGTCGCAAAAATATTTAGAACATGCCCTATATACATGTCCATATATGTATATATATATATTATTATTATTATTATATATATATATCATCTCTTATTTTCACCGATGTTGTATCACGCTGGGCTGAATTCATCTCAGGGTGTTTTGCTTTCGCGTACGCCCGTTTCTTTCGCCAGCGTATATACCGCGGTTTTCTCCTTTTGTTCCAAGCCCTTCTTCTCGTCAGGGCTGATTGGCTTTGTGAGATGTCCTCTCATCCTTGAATGTCTTTGTAGCTCGAAGGATCTCGAGAAGGATCTCGAAGGCTTGAAGCCATCGTTTGAAAGGAGTCCTCCAGTATCCTCCAGTCCTTTTATTTATGTCCTCCTCTTCCAGAATAGACACATTTGAACCTCAGGATGTTGGGATCGTGTGCCTCTCCAACTCACTGGGTTTTTATATATGTATGTGCTGCGCGTGACTAAACAAATATATACACATTTAACAATTTAACAAATATATACAAATATTCTCCAGCATCTCGGACCTTGCAAGGCGTGTTTTGCTTTTCCATTCAGATGCCAGGAAAAGAATCTAGCAACCGCAGCGATCCACTCCAGGCCTGGGGATCTACAAAACGCATGTCAGTCATGGCATGTCAGACGGCCAATGCAGTATTCATCCGTTCTATTCCAAACTCAGGGAGCTGCCCTGCACCAAGCAGTGCTGACTTGTGCTTTATCGTTTGGCATCGTGCCGATAGAACAACAGAAGACATGGCCTAAGCAGAAGATTGCTAGCTTGGAGGCAAATTGAAGAGTGGGGCAGCCCAACAAGCTCTCAACCCGTGTCAACGATAACACGGCAGAGGACAAAAGAGTGTCTTGGCAGCAGAGGTACATTTACAGAAGGAACAAACATGGCTACCATGCAACTACCTCCAGTCTGCGGCGCTTTCAGGATCTTGGCGAGATCAATGATGATATCTATCATGGAATATATATGCTGATATACATACATATATATATATATATCCTTCGGTTAGATACATAATGGTTGCCTTGAATAATTTCTTTGGCTGAAGGATGAAGAAAGATGAAGCCAGCCTAATTGCCGAGGGGCACAAGGCACGCAGTGACACGGATCGCGGAGCTGCAGCCGTTGTTGGTTGAGGCTGCAACTCAAGTTGGCTTTATGCAAGACGGTAGTCTGCTTGCTTGCCTGTCGATGCCACGTCGAAGTTTCTGGAGGGTGTAGTGTAGCGAAAGGAGAAGCCTGCCTGGCAGGAAGAAACAACAGAGCAGAGATTTGGAAGCAGTGACGGGTTGTGAGTCTGAAGATTGTTTGTGAGTCTGTTGAACATGTTTCTTTTTGGCAGGCCTTGTTCAACGCGGTGAGCAAGATGGCATCAACCCGAAGTGAGAGCCCACTAAGGCCAAACGACAGTGAGGCGCGAAAGAGAAAGCACACCAAAAGCTAGCAGGTAGTTGTTCGTCGAACCTAAGAGGTAGACGTCCTACAAACATGTTGGCCGACATACACTTTCAGAGAAATGTGAGAACTAAGACGCTCAAAACATTCCAAAGAGAAAGCAACACCAATTCCGCGCATCTCCATATGCCATAGTGCCTTGAGTTTGGGAAATACGTGCTCATCGCGCTGCGGATTCGATATGCCTAGTGTGCCTTCAACACCGTGAGTCTTTTGAGGATGCTTTACAATTTTTGCACAAACCCACAGTCACATGAGACTTTTTGACAAAATCAACTTCATCAGTCCCAGCCGGGTTGTCTCAGGGAGCCAGAGAGGCGAAGCCGGGTATTTTTACCTCGAGCCTCAGCTCCAAAAATTGGCAGATGAACATGAGCTTTGAACCAGAGGAACCTGGACCACCTACTCGTAGTGCAAATGCCACAGGTGACCATAGCCGTGCAATGCAAGCCTTCACTGACCATTTGTTCACCTAGATATCATACTGTAAATAGATGTCACTGTGTTCAATATAGCGTCCTTGCTCCTAGTAGTGAGGCCAGGAGCACCTAGTAGCGTCCTTGCTCCTAGTAGCTTCTGTTCACCTTGGTTCTTGTTCAATCCAAGGTTCAAGGCTCATGAGCTCTCGTGCGAGTACAATTTGCCTGGAGGTCATGTGACGCAGGCGTGGTTTGTGGGCTTCGCACCTCTCAGTTTGAAGTCACCAGTTGACTAGTCGACATCACGTGGCCGAGGCATGGAAGCTCTTCAAAAGATATGATGTGGACAATGATGGTTTGTTGGCTCCGCAGGTCCCTTAGGCCTTAGGCTCCCTCCAAACCAGGCTCCCAGGCTTTGCACAAAATCCCTGGCGAGTCATTGAAGTGTGGAATGCTTTGCCTTTGAGGTATGAATTTCAGCTGTTGCTTAGACATGTGCTGCGGGAGCGCTTTCCCTCAGCAAAGGATGTTCCGCGAGAGCTGTTCAAGGACTCCCCGAGAAGAAAAACAGAGCAAGAATATGCAATATGAGCTGTTCAAGAAACTTATTCACTCAGTGTTTTTGTTGCTCGGTGTTTCCCAAGTTAAACAATTCTCACCATTTTGGAGAAAGGCCTTTACTGTTACAGGTAATTATATAATAGGATAGAATAGGATAGACCCAAAATAAGTTGGTATATATATATAATATATAGTTTTGGGGGGGCCTTGTGCGTTGTGGCGTGATTGCCGTGCAAACTTTGCGAGGAAGCGATTGAGATCCAGAACATGCAGGTCACCGTGACCTTTGCAGATTTTTTGACTTGGATCACCCGCAATGCTTTCCAGGAATGTCTTCTTTTGAACGATGACACTCAGTATGCGCTATTCCTGTGTGAAAGGAATTGTCCGTTATTCATGTATGTTCATTGCTACTTTGACAGTCTGGAAATGGTGACGTCTCAGGGCAAAAATCAAGGCCCAATGAAATCTGAGTTGTTTTGAGCAGCTGAGGATCAGCGCTTCATGCGCTTCATCGCTCGAAAGTTCCAAGTGCATGTGACGGATGTCGAATCGGCCACTTTGCCTCGAAGCAGCGCCCTCAGCCTGCCCGGCATGTTCCCAGCAAGATTGGCCAAGGTCAAACGGCATTTCGACAGCTACTCCCACCATACTGGCCGGATGGAGTATCCAGAGATTCATGGTAGCAATATGTCGCAATAAAGAGTCAAGGGTTACTGTAGGTGTCACTTTGCTATTTAAGTGTTGTCAGCTTCTCAGTTTGAGATGTTTGAGGTTCCACAAGCTCTTGGCTTTGCTCTTGAATTTGCAAGATGTCTTATCATTGCCGGAGAGCCGTGTCAAGCCTCCCTCTCGGCATTTGGGGATGGAGGCAAAGGGAGATGTGTGAAGAGCATTGAATAGCTGGATCACCTCACTCTTACACTTCAGTGAGGTCATTTTGGCGAGAGCTCGCTGGTGATCATAACGGCAGCCCAGTTGCAAGTTGGTACTGGTAGTGTGCACGAAGCTAGGATGGCTACCTCCCACAGGAGAGCTGCTGTCGAAATCAGCCACGCGAGTTGGCCGTAAGTGCAATGCTGGGAGTCGCACTTTGGCCGTTCTTGAGTCTCTTGAGGCTTTGTTGAATTCTCGGACTTCATCCCTTGGTATTTGGCGTGCTTTGCTGGAGGTGACGGCTCCCCGCTGGCACCACGGCTGAAAGAATCACAAGGAGCTTGCTACGCAATGCTTGGCTTTGACTTGTACGCTTTCAGTAATTTGGTTTTAGCCTAAGCGGCAGAAACAAACAAAGGCGCTGAAGGACATAAATTGTAGAACGGTTTTGTGTGAGAATAGATTGATTGCTCGGAATTGCTCGGATGCAGATATGAAGCTATGTATCGTCGCTTGCCTTCTCATTGCACCCCTTGCTAATTCAACAAGGTCAATTTCTACCGAAAGATCCGGCCGATCCCCATCCTGGAAGAGTACGAATGATAGCAGCTAAGAGTGAATTGGGCCTGAATCAGGTGAAGTCTTTCCATTCATGACGACATGTCCCGATTCAATCCGATTCCAACAGATCCGTTTTGATGCTTGGATGCTGGCCCTCATCAAATGGAGACCATCTCAGTGGTCAACCTCCAGATGAGTCAGGAGATGGGCCAATTCTGTATCAGGTTCATACGAACTTATATTTCTGAGAAGCATTCAGCTGTTTCTCACCTTGGCATACCTTGGCAGTAAGATACTGCCCCTGAGATTTTCTATCCAGAGCCACCGTTTTTCAGCGAACAAAGACTAGCTCACCTCAAATTGGGGCGTGGCGAATTGATGCATGTGCGGCAAGGCGCACATGGTGAACGATCCGTTTCACCTTTGGAGTCTTTCGGATACCTGATCCGCACTCGCCTGCGATGATTGGACACGACCAGCATAGCGTCCATCCTTCACCGTTTATGCTTGGTTTAGTCCGCCAATGGTCGGCCTAAACTGATTCAAACAGCTCCCCTGTGAAGTCCGCAGGGAGGATGAAAACACGTGCGACTTGAGTACGAAGCAGTGCGGCATTGCGTGGTGACTTCACTCTGCACGTTGAAGGCTTGAAGTTGATTGTGGCACTGTGTGCACCATGTCGATGTCTAAGGACAGCGAGCCATTGGTCGTCCACATGATCTTCCTGGGACCAACAGCTTGCATGGCCGTATTGTCAATCTCTATGGGCAATTGCAACTGCAGCTGCAATAAGTTTGACAGTTCCCTGTGAAACTTAAGCCTGAGACCAAAAGAAGAAGGATAAGAAAGGATGTCCGAGACAAAACGCTTTTCTGATCTTTTCTGCGCTGAAATGTTGTAAGGCTGCCAGGCCGGCCAGCAGATGATGCACCAAGTGGCTGGTCTGGCTCACGATCCGTTGGCAATGTCCAGATGTCATCCGAGGACGGGAGATCTTTTGATCCAGAAAGTTGTTTGGAATTCTTGGGGTGTGTCACCTCGGTCAGTTCTCTCTTGGATCCTCCAAGCGTCTTTTGCAAGAGGACACGCGGTCAAATCGCCTACGGTGGTTTGAAGAGTGTGCGAGAGCTGCACAAAGTGGTAAACTTGTCCCTTAAGGTAGTGCACAGAAAGGGTTTTGCAAAAACCTATTCTACTAACGTCGTGGAAGGCGCGTGAACTTCGTAGAACCCAAGGCTGTTCGTGGACAGTTCGTGGAATGGTGGGCCAGTAGGAGAACTGACTGCAACGAAATCCCAGAAACCTTCGCAGAACTTCGTGGAAGGTATTTTTGATGCACTAACTTCGTATAAGCGATTTTTGCTGACCCCCTTTCTCCACACACCCTCCGTTTAGCCTTCACTTAAAGTGAGTTCACAATATTTCACATGAGATCATCGAAATTGGGTCACACGTGATGTTTTGGTGGCCTTTTCGGGTTGGCCTTTGGCTCGTGCATTTTCTCCCTCCCAGCACTGGCATTGAGGCCTTCAGGCTTTGCCTGGCACAGTAGCTCCCAGTAGCTCTGTAGCTTTTCCCAAAAACATTGGCTGCGGACTTGCTGGTGGGAAATGGGCACAGCACCTTGGAACTTTGATGAGCCTTCTTCATGTGCTGCCAGGGTTGTCAGCCATAGTCCATAGATGTCCATAGTGTTTTAAACAATTGTATTTGTTTGTTCTTCGGTGAGTTCTTTTGGAATGTGACCCTGTTGGCAAGTCAACCTGGTTGTCACTGCTTGTCCCTTGTTGTGCCCCTGCTGTTTGTGAGATGGACCGAAAGATTGGCAAATCTTGATAGAGTAAATCGATGTTTGCATATTGAGATGCAGACAACAAGATGGGAGGAGACTGCGGAGAGCCAGGAAGCACCTATTGGATTCAACTACTGCACCTAGGTACCTTGCTGCGCTGACCAGGTTCAGCGAGGCCCAAGTTTTGCTGCTGTGCTTCTTCGGTGTCGGTGTCCATGGATTTGGGAGACCAGTCATGAAGTAGCCAAGAACCAGGCCCATCCAGACTGGAAGATTGCAATCTATGACTTCAACGCTCCTTGCCAAATACAGACCTGACCGAAATGCCGATAGGGATCCAAGCAGCCAGCCGGTCGCGTGGTACGAGGCATCAAGTCCAGCTGCATGTCCCACGGATCCCACAGCACGTCCAGCGAGCGCTGAACCGAAGACACCGGCTCGTCCAAGTGCCAGCGCTTGCCGCTGGGCTGTTGAAACGACGGAACTCACCGCTGTTGTGCGAGAGAAGTAAGAGCAGTTGGTGAAAGAAACCCTTCTCCTATGATGAGTTTGTGAGTTGCCTTCATGGATTTTTGGAGAAATATGGAGACTGAGATATCGTCGACGAAATTAAACAAAGGGGAAAAGCACCGCGTATACAAAAATCTTTGCTTAGCCTGGCGCCGAGAGGTTCCGGGTTTTGGAGCACCGCGACCTTTGAAGCTTGGCGCGGAGGGTCTTGGGTTGCCTACTCAGAGGCGCCAAACAGACGGGGGGCGTCGTTGGCGTCGGTTTGGGAAGGTTTTGAGTCTCAACATGTATCAATCTGTCCGTTCTGTTGTGGAGATTAATGCCCTAAACTCGAGGCAACCAGCCCCTGCACGCTTGCTGCCAGTTCTTGATGTAGTCTGGATCAGTTGCGGCACTATGCGACATGTATGGTAAGGAACAACGCCAACACCTCAACGTGGACCCATTATGGCCTATTTTTGCCTATTTGTTGCAAGAAGGAGATTGGTTGAGGTATAGTGCTAGCTGAGGCATGCGGAGCCCCTGTTCACCATGGTTTTGGTCGGTGCTCAGAATTCTGACCTCCCACTGGCACCCCCACACCACTGCCAGAAGACTTGTTTGCTGGGTACAAAGCTGCACAGCTCTCAACTTGGAAATACAATGCTGGAGGCTCACCAAGCAGCCCTTCAAGCTGCGCTACAACGTGAAGATGACTGCAAGAGGACCCAGGAATACGATCATCTCACCATGTGGGAAGAACAGAGCGTGGCCCATACACAGAAGAAAGTGGAAAGCAGACAGAGGTAGATCAGGTATATAGATCGTTTTGGATACCAGACATGTGCCGGTTGGAAAAAGTCATTGAGTATTGAATGATGGATGTTGGTGGTGCTGTTGGCATATGTTCGCATCGCCACATCATCTAGTCATGGGCTTGGGAAAGGCGAGGACACTCTCCCTATCATAGTGAGCTCATGCCCAGGCACCGAAGTCATGGTGGACAGTGAGCGGCGGCACGCTCTTGCAGCACTTGCCGAGATGGGTGTTTGCCCGAGGTTCGGAATTTGTTCCGGATTTCGAATGAAAATTGGACCGATTTCTTTGAATTCCGGTTGATTATGTTTTGAGTATGTCACTATAAAATGTGTTTTGAAAAGTTTCGTTCGCATCACAGTCGAAGGTCTCTTGGGGCCGGTGTGGAGTCTGAAGCTTTGAGTCTTTGTGCTCGTTTGGGAGATGGAGACTCCACAGGACTGAGGTGTTCAGTTTCTTGATGTTTCTTGTGATGCGGAGCCTATGAGAGCCAGGTAGGCTTCTGCAATTGTTGCCATGCTTCGAGGCAATGGGCAGGTTCAAGTGAATCTTGCGGCCCTTGCGTCAGCAGCAGACTACGGCCACCCGTCTCGCAGGGCAAGATCTCATCCCGGCTGCATAAATATCAATCTGCTCTGTGTAAGTGTAGATGTTGATGTTGTTGTGTTTTAACGCTACAGATATGATTGCATGATTTGTTGCCGGCGGGTCGGGAAACGCTTGCGTTTTGGATGGAGAATTGACGCGCTGCCAGGTGAAGAGACCAGCCCAGACGGCAAGACGCGGGTTCGTTTGAGGCTGCCTCCGGTGCGAGAAGGACCAATGCAGCAGGGATTGCCGAGATTTTTGCAGAGCAAAGATGCGGGGTAGTGAGACTCTAGGACCCTACTTGTGGGATTATACAAATTGTTGCCCTTCATTTTTGCAGACTGTTTGACCTGAGGTTTGCAAGGAGGGTTGGGTCAGAATGGCGATCATGGCTGCGATGCCCAGTGTCGAACCATTAAGAAAAAATAGAAAAACAAGTAGCTAAAAGATGTTTCAATGAGTCACAATGTACGTTCTTCTCCTTCAGTCAGTGGGCCCTCAGCTGGAGGAGAGATCCGTCTTCCCGCACAGTTGGATTTGGGTTCCTGCCCGTCAGTGCGGGACTGCGGCCGAGTGGCAGACGCAGAGCTACTGCATCCGGGTCTGCACAGACACAGACACAGCGGTGTTGGTGATGGTCTATTTGCGGCACGTGTTTCTGTCATGGAGCGTGATACAATGGGTCAACCGGTCTTCCCCGCAAATTGCCGCATCCACTGCATCATGCGGATCACAGCACTCTCTCACAGTTAAGGCAACCTGACAGCAGCTGCGGCATTTGTCTTGGATGCAGCCTGAGACATTCCTCAAGATGTGCGAATACATTGTGGGTACTGTAGAGATGCGAGATAGCCTTTACACACACGCATATATAATAGTATATAATATATAATATATATATATATATGTATGTGTATTGCTTGGCTTCGAAACATCTCTTTGGATTGTGTTGGTGCATGAGGTGACCTAATGGGCAAGAGACGTGGTCTGGCAGTCGCACTGCAGCCTCTTGCCCAGTCTGGCCTTTGACGGTTGCATATGCCAGTTGCAGCTTTCCAGTGGGGTGTCAGGATGAAGTAGCACCGCAAGTTGAGGCTCCATTGTGGGCACATCTTCCACCATAGCTGTTTGGAGCGCTGGTTTGAAGAGAGAAGGCTCTGGACATGTCAATTTACACCACACCTTTGCCATCACCTACCAATTGAGTACAGTTGCCCGTTGTTTGTATCAAGCGATGCTAGCAGCTTCGAGCTTCGGGCTGCTGCGCGTATGGTGGGGTGTGGACGAAAGCTGTTAGGCGGTGCCCAACATGTAAAAGGCGCTTTGGGCACTTGGTGGGCAATCAGTTTCTCAGCTTCAAAATTTGCATGTCGATGTGGTCTTGGGCGTTTGTTGTTCCAATTGCTTCGCGGCCCATTGCCCACATGGGAACTGAGGCCGAGCATTGGTACCATGAGCTGGCAATTGGACAGCCGTGTTCGGCTTGCTGGTCATCCAGATTCTTGGCCTTGAAAGCATTCCAAATCTGTGTGCAATTCAGACGGGCACTGTCAACCAGAATGCACAGCCACATAGCACTTGACCCGGCACTTGGCATGTTAGCTCTCCTTTGAGGATAGCTTTACGATTGTCCTCAACTTCCGCTTTCCGGCGGGAAGAGACTCCAATGGAGAGTCTCTTTGCGGCAGAAAACGCATGCAGATGGACAAAGCATTACCTCTTCAGCAACTTGAGGCCCTACAGAGGGAGGACTCAGCCTCTTAGATGCGGTGATTGATCAATCTGATCTACATGATGCACTTGCTGCACTTGCATTTGAATGAGGCAAGCGTTTCTGCCCCATGATGAGCGTGGGAAGCACCTCGGTGGAAAATGAGAAAGAGTGAAAGTTGCCAGCCACAGGGTCTTGAAAACAAGTGTTCGCAGATGTTCGCAGCAGACTGCAAATGAGTGCGAATGTGTCAGGCTCCTCCTTGCGTTGTTCCAGCTCGCTTTCAGGCGGATAAAATAGCAGCTTATGCACAGAGAGTGCAATTGTAGCTCTGAAAGAAGGAACAAGTGGAGGCCATGGCTATTAGAAGCAATGTATGTTATTTAATAGATGTGTTTCCAAAACCAACGTGCAGGCGGCGGGTGCTCTTCGACCTTCGAGCCTCTACAACAGAACAGAAGTACTGGCCAGCCTTCAATATCCACCTCAAAACGGTGCTTCGTTGGCATGACTGATCACTCAATTGAATTTTACATGATGGCTTTTTCATGTTTTTCCCCACAGGCAGTTGCAGGAGGTCCAGAGCGATTCGGATTTCCAGATGACGGCTACTGCCAACGCGTTTTGGAGGACAAGAAATCCATCAGCAAGAACAGCCAAGAGGTGTCGAGAGTCACCTGTCAGAATCTCGAATTCAGGAGCTCCGGGAGAATGGGGTGACCATCGCGGAGCTGTGAGATTAGTCTTTCTTGTAGCGATGCACTTGTTCCTAATAGCTTCTTGTTACTACTAGTAAGGCACTTGTTCCTACTAGCGAGGCACTTGTTCCTAGTAGCTTTTTGTTACTAGTCTTTCTTGTACAGACTCTCTTTGGGCAAATGTGTGCCGCACCTATCCTGCTGTGTGCAATTGAGATGTTCTTCGGGACGGTGAAATTTCATCTTGCGGCCTGGCCAGCCATGGCTTGGCATCCTGTTTGCAAAGGAACTTGATTACATTTGTAGAGCTTGGGCACAGTCTTGCACCAAGCCATGAGAACCATGCTTTGGGTGCCTCAGTGCCATGGTGGGCCTACCCGGGCCTACCCCTTGTACAGGAACAGACGGCCTGGCATGTTTGCAAGAGAAAGGTGCTTCCGGTGTTATTTGTGCGTTCCGTCGTCATCTCAATCAGTGGGCTTCTTTTTTTAGCTTTTTAGATGTTTTGGGCTGCACTATGCTGCACTGCACTCATTGCACTCTCAGAATGTACAACAAATGCATCCAGAGTGAGTTGCTCACACCACCGGCTTGATGCTGGCCTTGGCTGAGTCCTTATTTGGGTCCATGGATTTACATCAATGACTTGAACGGCTGATTTTGTGAATGCAGGGCTAGTTGTGAGTGATGGCAATTGAGGGTCAGAATTGGTAGATTTTAGTCTGATAGTAGTAAATTGACAAGCGGCCAATGGGCAGAGATGCTCCAATGAGCATTGCAGACTCCAAAGGCTTCTTGGAGCGTTTGATAATCAGTTCACTCATTGTGGATCCTTGGAGCCCAAACGCTGCCACTGGCCCAAATGATAAACTTTAGGGTCTAACCATGTCTAAGTTATATTTAGGCAAAGGGCATCGCTACTAGGAGCAAGGACGCTACTAGGGGCTCCTGGCCTTACTACTAGGAACAAGGACGCTACTAGTATAATATTTAACCTATATTTAGTTTAAAGATGAATCAAGCACCACGCAATTCAAGGCATGCTTCCCCTCCTTGCACACATGCTTGCCTCATGGTAGTGAAGAAAGATTGGAGCACGCTGTCACATTTCTACCAATTTGACGCTTCAGACATTAGCAGGGCATCGGGTTTTCGGACGTCAGACCTTCAGAGCTCTTTTATACGTACCCATGTGGGTGGTCCTGTCTTAGGGCGCAGCCCATGCCGCTTCAGCTGCTGTGGAGGAACTATGAAAAGTCTTCGGCCGCCCCGGCCACTGTTGAATGTCTTTAACATTTTGCTTTGATAGGGGTTGCGAAGGCAGGGTTGAAGCCAAACAACCACACTGTGACACTCGAAGTTTTTGAGGTCGTTGCTCCAAGTCCTACACGAGAAGCCTGGGCATGGGAGTGTGGCAACTCAGGGCAGCATGGACAACAAATCTGTAGTGCTGCAGTTAGGTGCAGAGCAGCTCGAATCAGCACAGCTCAAATTACACAAATAGCACAGCCCTGCAACAGCAATTTGGGTGAGGAATGATGAAAAGACTTGGGCAGCTTGTGCTCGCGAATCGCGGCGAGCGACTCAGTGTCCTTCCTTGGGGTCAACGGTAATCAGGCTGTTGCAGCATTGAGGCTTCAGAAGCTTCGGAGTCTCAAATGCAAGACTTATGAGCCAAAGAAGGAGAAGATTTAGAGTTGACTTGGAATTTGACGTTGAAGCCGGAAGCATTATGGCCTGTGCATCGGCCCAGGCGCAAGGAAGTGCACGGGTAACCACACGGTTTTGTTAGTCCCTTCCAGCAGGATACCTCATCCAGCCGCATGCTCAAGTGGCAAGCTCCAGTGAGAAGTCCTTGGCTCAGATGTCCAAGTGTCACGCGTCACAGAGGACAGAGAAGGGTGCCGGCAGCGTTGTAGCCAGACGCTGCCGAGAGAGAGAAAGAGAGAGAATATCACAGATATACACATAAACCATCATAAACCGCTATTACAGACGAAAAGTGTTCAATAACACGGCGGGAAGGCGTAGCGGCGTAGCGTGTTTGGATGGCTACGCCCAACGAAGCTAGTCCGAACACCGGATACCATTTTGGCGTACCTGCTTGCGGTGTTCTGCTCGTTTTTCAGAAAATGGCGAGCGGCCAAGCCAAGAACCGCCTTTTAGATCCTTTTCGAGATACGTACTATGATATATGAATATATATATATATATGTGTATGATTCATGATATATGTTCCAGATATGTTTCAAGATTTCGACGAACCATGCACGCAAGTGAGATGGAGATAGATATTCGTGATTACCTTCTTGACTTGTTACTCGACGGTGTCGTCATTGCTCGTTCGGGACGTCCCCATCGTTTCAAGCTTTTCCACTCTGTGTGCTTTTCCACAAAGTCTCAGTGTGTGTGTGTGTGCAAGATAAGCTAGATATAAGCTAAACAAATGCAAGCCGTTTGCTTTGTTGGAATCGCAAAGGCCACAGCATTTGCATACATGTGCCTCGAATTGTTATTTGGATGAATGAGTGAACAGTTGTTGGGGTGTTTTTGCGGGGTGTTTGATAGGTACGTGCGAAGTACTTGAGGTGCAGAGCTCGACGTAGCCTTGCATGTGAACCTCGCTGCCGGGGCTCAGAAATCAAGGCCCCGCAAGAACTAGCAGTAATTAGCACCATCAATGTGAAACACTGCATGAGCATGCCGGAACGATCATGCAGCCGCACTTGGTGATTTTGAGCTTCAGGGTGGCAGAGTCATTTGGGCACCGTGCCATTCCTCGTTGCGCAATCCATGCAGCTGAGCTCATGTGGTGGGGTTCGGGCAAGAACAAAAGAAACATGGTTGCAGCAGCAGCCACTTTGTTGATTCATCAAGGTTCTACAAACGAGCCGGAGCCTGTCTTAAGTCTAGGACTCTTGCTTGTTAGATTTGCATAGCAGTTTTAATCAACGTCACACAGGCCTACATCGTGTCCATAATCTCCCGGGTATAGTGGAAGAGGGGGAGGTAGTCATGCTGGATTGACTTTGGCGTAACGGTGACTATATTGGCTCAGATTTGCACAGCATGAGAGTGGCAACCTTGCCTACTGGAGGCCATCACTCTTAGGTTGGAGGCCAGCGCTAGTAGGTTGGAGGCCATCGCTCAGGTTTGGGTGGAAGCACCAGACGGCACGCAGCTTGCAGAAGCTCGTGGTAGTGCAGCTGGATTTGCACTTTTGTTCACGGGAGTTGCAGAGTTGGTGTTTCGTCAAAACTGAGACATACTCTATTATGTGTGCCGAGGCCAGCCAACAAGAAAACCAATGTACAATTCCTTGGCGCTGTCGACTCGTTATCTCCCTTTGTTGTAAAGTAGTTAGAAGTTACAATCATAGTTGCAAATGTTCACACAATTGGACATGGTGTGATGTTTTGAAAGGTGCTTGAGAATAAGATATGGCCTCGCGTGTGTGGCTTGAACACAAATCTCAAGTCCAATCAATACACAAGATTGTAATGCTATCAAGTGTATGGTCAACCCATGAGGAAAAAACTCACTATTTTCCATTTGCGTACTGTAGCGCATGGCAGAGACAAGAGTGCGCAAGACGCAGGGCTTTGGATCTTCCGAGGCTGTCACCGCTATGTTAGATGTGTGTTCGTTCCAAGGTGTGTCCAAAGAATGCTCGAAGTGCAATCCATATCCACTGGCTGCTGAGCTGAGAAGTGGAGCTGTGACAGATCACCAAACAGAATTGTGTAGCTTGTTGCAAAAGACAACTACTTGACTCATATGAATCAAGCTATATAAGTGGATGACTACTCCACCATCACCTTTCGGAGAAATTCTTGCACCCAATTGCTGAGGGTTTGCCGCGCCAAGTCTTCTCCACATTGCTTTGGCGACGCCTGGCGGCTACTAAAGGCCACACACTAGATGCATGCTTCCGAATAATTTCTTCGCACCTGTTGAGTCAATCATTGTACCAGCTCACCGAAATTCACCGCATCCCTATGCATCCACAAGAGTTCTCCCTAGAGAAGTTGACAATGGTGGGGGCTGACTTTTGCGCAGGAGCAGCCATTCCCTCCACAAGCCAAGAGACCATGGACAATTCCACAGGCACGCATAGATAGCTACATTTGTGCTTTTCGTATTCATCATCCTCATTCATTCTGTGGGGTTGGAACCTGGGTAACATGTCAAAATGATCCAACATTTATATACAAAGGGCATCAGCAGCATAAAGCCCTTTCAGGTGAATTTTTCGAGTTGAGTTTGTGAAGAGGCTCTTCTGGGCATCCTCGCCAGAATCGGGGAAACTTGGTTTGCAGTGCGAGTTGGCCTTCGTTGCTTGCACATCAGGATTGGGAGGAATACTAATGTGGCCAGGAGACTTTTGGCATGGCCCGGGTTGAACTGGGAGCAGAAGATCAGGGCTCGCAAAAACTGATCCAGCTACTTGGCAGTTGACACCATGATCAGTGATTGCGGATGATGGTAGCTGTCCAGAAAAGAAAATCGTCCAGAAGATGGATGTAGATCGAACAAGAGTGAACAAGGTACTATACCGATCTTGGCTTTAGCAGCAAGATGGCCGGTAAGGTCTTCGGTGAGCTGAGTTGCTTGCTTTGAACTTCGGGAGGGGAGGATGTGTTTTTTAAAGCAGGCCATCGCTTCTAGGTTGGAGGCCATCGCTAGTAGGTTCTTCGTTTTTTTGTAGTTTTTATTTAAGTAATGGCCTAGGACGTCATGCAACCCAGACTGTGTGGTCCTTTCGCGTTTTACAGGATGTTCCACAGCATCCGGACAATGCTAAGCTAGCTTGAGAAGAACGATCCTGGCGAGAAGCCCGTGCCTGCCTACCAAACCTTACACAATTCCCCTGATGTGTTTGGTCACTCCGCAGAAACGTCCTTTGGTTTCAAGGCATGGACGCACCCATCGGCAGTGTTTCAGCTTTTGCTCCCCAAAGCTGGATGTGTGCGTTGCCGTTGGACAGCTTCAACGCTTGGCCTTGGCTTTGGGGTTACTCGACAGCACACAGATGATCTAGACAACTCTTTCAGCTCAGGCCCCCCCTGGCTGCAAGAAGTAACTACTTTGTTTCGGGTGTGGTCGTTCAGCTTATCGGAAACTGCCCAATCAGAGTCAAGACCTAATCCTTGTCCAGATGGGACGGCAGTCAGCTAATGTGACTAAGAAGCCATGAGAAGTCATCACTGATGCAGAAACAAGATGAAGTCGATGCAAAGATGCATGGCGCCTGCAAAGCGTGTGCCCTATAAACGCGTTCGCACATTCCGCACCGATACACCATTCAAACCACAAAGATGAACTGAGGCGATGCAGAGAGGCCAAGCCTTAGCTCCATGATCAACCTCATGGCAGCACCAGACACGTGCCCTCGATGCACGGAGATGAATCTTGTTCAAGACCTCCAGTTCTGGAGCTGCACACAGCTGCACCGCAGCGCTGCACTGTAGCTGTTTGTTGTTGTTTGTGGTTTGTTCATTCATACCAGTGATTGAGACTTCCCATGTAACTTGGCTGAATAGCTACCTGTGATGCTATACTTAGCGACCTTTCCTTTGAACACTTCATTGAGTGGGAGTCAATATAGAATTAACTTAGGCTTGGTTTTGGTGATCGTGCGTAAGGGGGCTGGGCAGCTTCTTGAAGAGCAACTGGAAGCAACCAAGGGAAGTAATCCAGGTAAGCGAGAATGAGCCAAAAGAACAAGCAAACGCAGCGAAATCCGCACATGGCAAAATGCTCAAATCTAACCCCTTGAACTACGTCCACGTAAGTAGAGCCAAACCATGATCCGAGCTGTCTCCCGAATGTTGGAACAAGTGGCAGACCACCGCAAAGCACAAGCACGCTTCCACATTCAACACAATTTGATTCACCGTAATCTAAAGCTAAAAGTATGCAGCTGCAGGAGAACCAGCTTTAACATAGGGGGCCTGCCATGCACAGTCCCCACAGAGAAAATAAATAAGTCTATATGATGGCCTTATGACAGGCGTCTCCTTATAATTCAAAACTTTTTTGCAAAATCATGCGGGAAAGGAGCTATGTTGCAGAGGGCCCGCGCCAAAAAAAGGAAAACTGCTACTGCGAAAGGTCGGCGAAGGCTTTCACGAAAGGGCTGTAGGAATACAAAGCCATGTCCAAGAGGTTTTCGCCACCGCTGAGTTTCCAAACAGTCTTGTTTTAGCAGGATGTCGCTTCTGGGCTTCGTCTGATCCAGAATTGCATTCTGTTTCAGGTGGAACTGGCCGGTCCAATGGCCTGGCAGCGCGGAGATGCAGATCCGAACCTCCTGGATCGACGCGGATGCTAAGGCTGGAGAGATGAATGAGCGCCCCTAGTAGCATCCTTGCTCCTAGTAGCGATGCCCTTTGTTACTAGTAACGTCCTTGCTGCTAGTAGTATGGCCAGGAGCCCCTAGGAGAATCCATGTGAGGGTGAAACATCGCTGATGAAGGTCCATGTGAGAATCCATGTGAGGGTGAACAGAATCGACATCGCAGGCCACCATCACAGCGCACCTCCGAAGCCCAATGAGCGAACTTGTGTACTGCAGAGCTGTATGTCGCCTAAAGCAAGAGAGTATCCGAGTGTAGCTTGGTCCTACTGTATTATCACGTGTACCATGGGCGTTTGACAGGGTAGTGGACATGCAAATGGACTTGACTAGTCAATGCTGGATTTGCTGAGGATTTGGCTTGGCAACAGCGGCTCGAAGCCGGTACATGCTTGTGTGCGTGGTCGACTGCTGGATGGTAGCCTCAGAAGCGATAGCTGTGGAATCAAAGCAGCACATAGACCTGAGTCATGTATATTGAAGAAGGTTCTGCCATGTACTTGCAGATCGGACTTGCTTTGGATTACATTCTGTGATTGGGCAACAAGCTTTGTCCGTGGCAAGCTGCGTTGCACATCCTAGGGCGCAATACAGTGGCCGCGACTTGGCACTGCCATAAACTTTTGTCAATGTGACTGTTTTACAAGGAAAGGCCGAAGACCCGATGCAAGCAGCAGGGCCTTCTAGCAGGCATAGCCTGTCAGGACAAGCAGCTGAGAGACATGTAGCAAGTAAATCAGGCTTGTAGTTCTGCTTGCTGCATATGAATGCCGCGAGCGGCCAATGCCAGATGTTGTGCTGCAACTTTGGTGAGGTGTGCGTCTTGGGTGCCGTTGCAGCTGCAGCCCGATGGTTTGGCACCGAGATTCTGGAGCTCACGGCGATGGATGATGGCCACAAGCCCAGATTGACTGCAGTGGTGGGTTTGAATTTGATTCACTGTGCCTTCGATGGGAGTGTGCACTGCCGAGGTTGTGGAAAGCTCTGCAAATACTTGTGCCTAGACTTAAATCTGGAGAGATGATAGAGAGAGAGAGGGAGACTGGAGACCGAGACATCCGAGACGGAGATGGAGACGGAGAGGGAGAGGGGCTGGCTGGCTGACCACTTCAAAGTTTACAATGATAAGTTGTTAAGGTGCGGTGTGGGCAATTGCGCTAGGATTCTTGAAGTTAAAGTACAAACATGGATGCCTTCTGACCCAATGGCTTGTAGCAACCTTCGTTTTGAGGCAGTCATTGGGCTTTGAACAGTGCCATGGCTGCAGTTAACTTACCAAAGAATTTCAAAGGGCATTACCAGCGTGAGGAGGTTCAGCTTCCTGAGATCACCAAGGGTTCCAAAAGCTCAAGTCTACGTAGGTTTTATGAATTTCTATAATATATGTCTCGGTTTGGCAGGCCCTGCAAGGTCCTAGTATGTCCTACTGTAGTGGGGTTGTATTGTGGCTAGTGACTATTTGAAACGAGATCAGCCATGTTACTGTACTATACTTGGGGCTGCACTGCCAAGGAGTCGCGATTCAGACAGCATGTCCACATCTTGCCGGCAATTCGCCCAGGACTATTGTCCAAAGGCTTGGATCTTGCCCATTTTCCAGTGTGATTTCTGTGGATTTTCCGCTCTCAGGCTTGGCGGAATCATTTACCCCCGGATGCTCACTTGGCAATGTTGACAAAGCTTTGCAACTCCTAACTGGAGATGAAGATTTGCAGGCTCGCGAGGTTTTTCTAATGAATTATTCATTAGCGTAGCGTAGCATTTAGGATAGCATTGAAAGTGCTAAGTTGCACTTTCTTCCTGCACCCGCAGCAGCATGCATTAAGGCATGTCAGCTGCCAAAGCGGACCCAACTTGAAAAAGGTATAAAGATGTTGATTTCACAGCCACATCAGTGCCTTGGCACGACTGAAAAGCGAGGATGCTTATATGTGATTCCGCAGCACAGGCCCATGACAGCTATAGACCTCATACAGGCCAAATAGATTTTGTACAGCAGCTTACGGTTGCTCAACCTATGGCGCCGCTCGAAGGGAAAGTCATCGGAGAAGCTCGACCCGCAAGACAGTGAGAGTGGACCCCGGAAGCAAACAAGACTCATCAAACCCAAACAGAGGACAAGCAGGAGTCATGGGTGAAATGATGAAATCTTGTGAAATGTCATTCTGAAGCATCAAGCCCATTCGGCTTTGCATTCGAGGTCATGGGTGGATCATTCAACCCGATCCACTTGGGCCATGCCTTGCTTGACCAAATCTCAGTCACACCCCTCACTTCAAGTTGCAACAAATTGCTCTTATCGGCAGTCAACACCATGGAGTCCTTTCAGTGGCAATGTACGTGACATACATTGGGCCATGCTTGCCTAGGCCATCACAGTTCATGAAACAAAGCCCGTGGACGAAGTGATACTAGTATCGCAGCGGCGTTCATCGGTGCTTTGCTGTTTTTGCCCCGTTTGCCTTGAGCTTTCAGATTCTTTTCAATCGTTGCACACTGTCCCGAGTGCGGTGTCCGGCTTGGCCTTTGCAGCTGCAAAACATGCTGAGGTGCCGGTTTTTAAGCACCCAGTGAAGAAGGATCTTCTTCCCTTTGAAGACCGCATTGCGATGTGCAAGCTCGCCGTGTCCGCCAGCAACATTGGCAACTTGGTGGAGCATGTGCAGGTTGCTTTTGTGCCGGCCATTGCTGCGCTTGAACTTGATTGTTGAACTCTGCACAAGATCCGACGCTCCTGAGGAGTCAGCTCTGTAGAACAAGAGACTGGAGAGTCAAATGCCTGGGGCTCAGTTTTTCGATAGGCCAGCAGGACGCCCTGGGCAACATCGACATTCCAAGGCGGTCATGCTTCGAGCATTGCGCAGCAAATATCCAAAAGGAAGTCGGCTGCTTTGGGTTTGCGGGGACGATGTGCTTCATGGCTGGACACTGACAGGGGGCACCAGGGGCCATGTGTTCCGGATCAGAAGGTAGTAAGGCCTTTTGCAGTCAGTCCAGTCGAGTATTTGCTGTAATATCAACATCAGAATGTCGAAGAGTTTGCAATTCAATTTGTGCAAGAGTCTGCAAAGGAATTACGTGTCCTTAGAAAAGTGCAAAAGGCCAGGGATTTAAAAGGATGCTTGTTGAACTACCGGTGACTTACGCGCGAATGATCAGGGATTACTACAGGGTACGCATGGGAGGGTGCCCCACATGAGCCCTCAGGGCAGGCTCCAACAGCCCTTGAGAGAAAAGTTCAGAGTCCGCAAGACACTGTGGTGCCACGGTATCGGCACATCAACATCCATCTGAGGTTTGACTGGATCTCCAACGAGAAAGGCCAAGCGATGCTGGCCGAGTTGGATGGCCTCATCGTCCAGAGAAGGTTGCACAAGGCTTGCACAGAATACTGGACAAAAAGCAAGTATCAAGTGTACAAGATCATCAGAAGGATTCAGAAGGTCGGTTTTACGTAAGGTGTGCGAATCCAAGCATCACGGTAGTATGTGCAAGATTGATTGGCTCGGCGCACGACCATCACACCCTCGCCAGGCATGTGATAGCCAGGCCGACCGATTCTACAAAGCGCCAGTTGACAGCCGTTCACTTGCAAAGATCCCATTTTGTTACTTCTTGGGTTGGCTCCCTTGGTTGGGGCGTGTTGGACGAGAGGAACACCGAACATCAGCAAAGAACTCCCTAGGTGACAAAGTTCGGGCGTTGGTGGCAGAGCATCGGACACTGGGCGGCACTGAGTTGAGCAAGTTTAAGAATACAAAGCTCCAGGCAGAGTTTCTTGCGACTTTGTACCTTGTTTAAGCAAAGTTCGATGCATTCCCATAGAACCAGTGCATAGTGACATAGTGCCATTGAATAAGCATGAATAAGCGATGTGGCCCCTATTTGTCCAGATTTGTTCACTGGCCAAGGGTTCATGTGGACTTTATTTACGGTGAGCTACCACACTACTCATCCACACTGGTGCGGAATTCGCCAGCAAGCTGGCGTGCATTTTTGCCCCAGAAGGTTGCAGCACCTGGGTCATGCAATCAGAGCTGGGCTGTCGGGACATGTCGGGACATGTCGGGACGTTGGGCCCTCGGTTCAAGGGCCAGCCAACTGGTTCAACTCGTTAGGACCAATGCTGACAGGTGATGTTCGAACCACTTGCTTACAAGAACTGTCCAGGCTTGGCCCAATGGCACTTGAATTTCTCCCGTGTGAAAGCACAGCGCATGCCGATGCAGGGTTTTAGTGAGGAGGGAACTCCACAGATGGCAGGCACTTGTTTGTGAGCATAGTCATGCTATGTCACGCTCATTGATTCAGACGATGTTCAGGTGATTCAAAGTTTGCCCGCTGTTCAAACACCGCTGCTCGGCATCACAAACACGTTGAGTGTTCCAAGGCCTACTTAGATGATCGCCCTGCCCTTCTGGCACAGCTGGTGCGGACTGGAGATGCTCCAGCCTCACGTGTCTCTCCTCCAGCCTCACCTTTGGCCAGCACCTAAGAAACAGGTGCAGCTGCTTTAGCTGTGGCTGCCAGATGGAGGATCTTTTGCACGGGGATGGGCAGATACTGACGTACCGGTAATTAGTAGTCATGATTCATGTCCGTCCGTGCTGTCGCAGCCAAGCAGCGTGCTCACGTCAACACAGAGTGGTTCATGTTGATTTGTCCATGGTCCTGTTGCACAAGCAGTGTTGATTGCCCCCTTTGGCCAAGGTCGTGCTGGACAAGAACATGCTCGATGATGCAGAGCCCGGCTATCAAGAAGACCTTGAGTTTGAAAAGGAGTTGACAGATGCCGCGGAAATTATGCTGAAGACAAGCTCACTGGAACTGGAGGTGCTGGAGGACCTGTGAGGATGATTAATTCGATGGTCACCGCCCAAAACCAGGTCCTGACAAAATCCTCTCAGGCTTGGTGGCCACTTGAAATGGCCACCGGTTGGATGAATGAATTGGATGCTTCCGCTTGGTCTAAGCAGGTTTGGAGTGTTTCTAACTAAATTCTATACAATTGGATTTCATTAAAGCACTTGAACTAGATAATTAATTCTACTATATAGCTTTCTGCCCCAGCAGTAAGGCCAGGAGCCCCTAGTAGCGTCCTTGCTGATGTTTTATGTGCCGTGTGCTGAGCGTGTCCAGGAGACCAGTACCTCCACGACCTCCACCGGGGCTGATGACGTGCCCACTATTCTCCGCGGGCAGCTTTCACCCAGGACAGGGATGCTACAAAAGGTGCAATCAGATTGGCCAAGAGAAAAAATGGCTTGATGATCAGAATGCATCAAAAAGATTCAAAAAGACCGTCATTCTTCGGGGCAAGGATGCTATATGGTGCTGAAAGCTCCATGACTTCGATGTTTGTGACTCAGACCTTGGCAGGAGCCACAAGAGCAGGACGCCAAGTCGAACACCACGCATGCCATCAAAGCAGCGCTTGCGTGAGGTGCTGCGTTGGTCTGACTGGATGAGATCAAATGAATTGTATGAAACGTACCGCAATTTAAATAAATCTGATTGTGAGCCTGATTCTGACATTGGACATCATGTGAGCCTTCTTCAAATTCGATGCTTGTCTTGACATTGACATCAGCTTCGTGGTTTTTGCCTTGCTTTCCATTGCTTCCTCCATCGTTTTAGGCATCGACTTCTTGCGTAATGCGTTGCTTGGCCACGGTACATGCACTGCAAAGGGAGCGAGGACACACAGCGCTGGCTTTGGCGCTGAAGGGCACACCGCAAGGCAAGGAGTTTTCAAAGATTTACCGAGTTTGCACAGAGAAGGGAAGGGGAGGGAGGGAGGGAGGGAGGGAGGGAGTAGAAAAGGGGAATGGAATCAAGAAAGATGAAATAAGATGAATCAAGAAAGATGCAGGATGGAAGCAGTTTGCATGAGGCTGGGGTGATTGACCGTTTCCCCTCAGGTGAAAGTGCTGCGAAAGCCATGCACGACGCCCGTGCAGCACTGGACCTTTTGCTCAAAGGCTGGCGTATTGCGTTGGGATGTTGTTCTCACAAGCCACAGACATGTTGCACATGTTGATGGGAGATGTGGGAGCCGGACGTGAGGACCACAAAATAATTCAAGTGCTTCAACCAAACGATGTCACTGACGTTCTGAGTGTTATATACTTGATAAGTTGGCTTCATAGATGTGTTTACATTACTCGATGCTTTTTGCATCACTCACCACCTGTTGCACAAAAAGGTGACCCAGTAGCTGAAAGAGCTTTGCGCCTCTCTGGGCTGGATGCCGGAGCTGCTGGTGCGGTGGCGGAGGAGTTGCGGAGAACACCTTTGTGGCTCAGCAGCTCGGTGCAAGTCTGCGCAATGTCTTTATTCTTATCCGAGAAGAGGATGAAGAGGTAGAAAGAGGTAGCTAGTAGAAACAAACGCTAGCTATTAGTAGCCCCAGCTTCAGTAGCTAGGATAGCTCACCGTTCTTCAAGGAAGCTCCCCCTGCCTGAGGGCGGGGGGAGCTTCCTTGAAGACGCATTCGCAGTAATCATTTGGTTCCTAGATTTTTTGGAAAACTTAATAGATGCAGGTAGATGCAGGTAGCTAGTAATGAGCATATTGGCCAGTAGCCGGGAGGCAGAAGGACTCGGGTTCCTGAAGAAGCCCTTGCATTGTCAAATGTCCAAAATGTCCAAATGGTGGCTAGTCTTGCTAGAAAACCAAAGGTTGTGCAAACTGAGCAAGATGGACAGGCAACGGCCTGACAGCGACAGATAAAGAGAGAGAGAGAGAGTGTGTGTGTGTGAGTGTGTGTGTGTGTGTAAGAGAGGGTAGAAAGAGACGAGATATGCGTTAAAGAAAAGATAAAAACATATCTATATTTTAAGAAAAAGCTGAACTAACCCCGTTTCATTGTACAGAACTTCAAGAACAGGTCTAAAACGACAAGCCCTAAAACATTGCAGTCAATGCTTTAAAAATCTAGAGTCTAGGGCCTAAGGGCAGCTGCTACACTCTCTCTTTGTTGACGACGTGTCACGTGTCGTTCACAGTCTCGCCGGGTGCTGCAAGGCTATGACCGCGCTTTGCAGTGAACTTAGCAGTAACTCGTTGGGACGAGTCAACTTCAGGATTTGCTGAGTCGCTTGATTTGTCGTTGGAGGCTTGATCGCCGTTTTGAGGAAGAGGCTTCAGCAGACCGGTTCAGCCGTTTCGGTGTTGAGCGGAGAGAGAGAGAGAGAGAGACCTGGAGGCAACTGCGGTACACGGCGAAGACTCGAATTGCTGGATGCGCAGAGCATCCCTTTTGGCCGTGAAGCTCAGTGCGTGAGTCACATATGGTCAGATAGTGAGTCACATATGTCGTATGTTCTGTGAAACCACAAGTCGCCCTGGATCAAGCCAACCAGAGTTTTTTAAAGACCAATTCTTTGTTGTGGATGGATTGAGGACAAGTTCAATGTTCGGGTTGATGTATTGATTGATGCAACCTGGCAGCACCAAGAATTGTGCGAAGGTTGCTTCAGATTTCTTTGCATTACCTATGGGCAAGAGTAGGAACTTCACTTCAGGCGTGCACTCACGCGCTTGCAGAATCCTTGGAAGCCAGGAGTGTTGATGCACGCCCGCAGGTGTCAACGTCACAGCGAGACAACATGCAATGCAACCGTTGGATAATTTTGTCGTTGGATAATGATTCGATGATTCAGGTGTGGAGCAGGAGTGCCAGCTATGACTTCAATGACCCCATTGCCTCTTGCACCAACATTCATGCCACCAAATGCGCACATGAGCAAGAGTCCAAGGCGAAGGGTAAGACTTGCGATGATGACCGCGAGACAACAGGCACGCACCTGAAAGCAAACTTGCAGTTCCTTTTTTAAGTATGCTGGCACCTTCTTGCAAATTAGAAGATGTCCTGTGTGAAGACCCAGGAGAGTGGCTGCTTTTGCTTTTCAAGCAGTATGCGGATTGCAAGGCTGCATGAACTTGCAATGCCACACTGTTTGCTGTGCTATGTGGACTTGAAAAGGAAGCCCTTGGCCGCTTGCGGTGCTTTGTGTGCTGTGGTGGCCAGCGTTTCAGCTGCAGATCATGTGGTTCCACACGGTTTCAGGTCTGTGGGGACCGTCCCCTATTTGCAAGTTACCTGCTGGCATTCAAAGCCAGTCTTGCAATTGCATTCATGCCAAGGCATGCCCCTGACCTGGTCAGGAGAGCTTCAAGTTTCTTGTTCTCCTTGTGGATAATCCATGCCTTTCAATATCCCACATTGGCCAGGAGCTCTTTCCGCACTCGGAGGCGATGGCACTTTATGGTGTCAGAGTGTGAATGTTAACCCGGCTCTTGCACATTGGCTTGCACATGGTTCACCTTTGAATTGCACGAGAGCAGAGGTGGTTGAACGAAGTGATCGAACACAAGGCCAGTAAAGCTTTGCCAAGAATCATCCGACTGTCCCAGTCTGATTGAAATGGCCACCAAGCTTGCCAGGATCGAATGCTTCACAGAGTCCTTTCCACAGAGCAGGCGAGCAGCCTCTGTGATCCATGTTGAACTTTGCTGCAGGAGGATCTCTACAAGATAAGCTTAAAGGATCTCTGATCATTTGATTGATTGAGGTTTTGACATGACTTCTTTGATGTTTGCCAGGCTGGGCCGAACAGTGCTGAGCATCCTGGTGCAAGCACAGCTGCAGCGCCCCTGACCAAGTGTGGGAGCTTGCAAGCCTGCACTTGGTTACATACAAATATACTTGGGGTTTATCTTTGTTTGATTGTTGCATCAATGAATAATTTCAGAAAGTCATGAAAATTGAAGCCTCAGGCTTCATAAGATGCTGGCTTCTGTAACATTGTCGGAGTACCGGCCTTAGCTGCTGGCACTAGCACCATGGGTCTTCTTCATTTTACTATTGACGGCCGTTGTGCGTCAAGTGTCGGCGCATGTTGCCCGCTGCGAAGTGAGCTCATCAGCTATTCTTCAACTGAACAAGCTCTGGTGCAGCATAACCAATGATATTGCCAGATAGTGTTGGGACACAGTCACAGTTGCTTTCACAAAAGCAAGCTCTGAAAGAGGTTTGCCTGCTCAAGTTCTAGTTTACAGCAGGTTGCAAACGGTCGAATTATATAGTTCATCACTTTAAAAGGCCTCCCCACCCCCCTTTGCGTGATAGAATGTACTGTATGTACCCCCGTCGACGAATTGATTTGGTATTGATTTCGAGGGGTGGGCCAGGGGCCAGAGGACGCGCACGTCACAAGCATCATTTAAGAGTGATTAGAACCAGCTTAGCGAAGCAAAGGCTGTTCCAGATTGGTGCTCGAGCATTTCCACGCCTTATTGGTGACACTAGTGCTAAAGCATCAAAGAGCAGGGCTGAGCAAAGTATTCTCCCGCCTTCTAAACACCAAGCCACTAAACTTCAGTCTGTTTGCAGTTTAGCTTCACGTGTCCAGCACTCACCCTCTCAGATCTCAGGAGAGAGTTGATGGGCTGCTTCGCCCGCAGCACACCCTTGGAAGTCATGCACGAGGCCAGCGGGCGAGCGTGCAAACCAGTTTCTAATTACTAGCTTCTTGTGTCTACTAGCTTCTTGTTACTACTAGTAAGGCACTTGTTACTAGAAGCGATGCACTTGTTCCTAATAGCTTCTTGTTAAGCTTTTCTTGCTGACTCTGACGTATGCACTTGGAAGGCTTTAAAGGCTGGCCACGAGATTCAGAAGGGCAAGTTTGATGTCCACGACTGGTTTGAACCTGAGGAATTGAGGGGGGCATGGGTATTTAAGGCCTTCTCCAAAAAAAGAGTGTTCAGGGTCCAGGGTCCTTCTTCATGTGGAAATGCAAACTGAGGTTTCGAACCCTTTCATCAGCAATAGATCTCATGGCAGCTTGGCCACACTAGCTCACAAGATCAAGCAAACCTGCCGAGGTTGATGCGCCCGCGTGCCTTGGTGTTGTTTTCTGCAAGAACACTTGGCCGTTAAGGTAAATTTGGACCAGGCTCTGGCGGCGTTCATTTGCACTTCCCCAGATGGTGATTAGAGATGATCGCCTGAGCCATGCATTCCTGGCGACAGAAGCAGGAATTAATCGATTTTGCCAAGGGGTCCATGAATGAGATTTGGTTGTGAAGCCATGTTTTCTTCCATGGCCACTGCGTTTCAGTTGTTGCCAAAAAAGACCTGAAAGGCAAACCTCTTCCCTTGCTCAACTTGCCTCGTTACAACCAGGCATGTTGGCATGTGCACATAACAGGAATCTGGAAAGGTGCTTTTGCTCGGCCATCTCAGTTGCACCATGGCCGGAATAAGCACGCGTAAGCACAAATTGTACACCGCCCAGATTTGTGGCCCGACAAAGCAGGACACCTTTCCGCCGTGATTCAAGCCATTTGTTTAGACCTTTGGATGCTTGGCATCCTTTTCTGTGGGGTCTTTCTGTGCACTGAATCAGCATTGGCAACTGGATGTCGATGGCATCTGCTGGCAACTGGCAATCAATGACCATGCCAATTAGCGAGATGGTTTAAAGTCTCGTGTACACTGGAGCACAGTCTCCGCCGATTTCATCCTATTTCTCCCTGGAGCACATTCTGCACGCTTAATTCGATCAGCTGGACATTCATCAGATTGTTGTTGAGCCCCTTTTGCCTTTCCACAACTCAAGGATGGTGGTCGTAGACACAGGACTAGTCCTAGGTCCGTTTCTAAGTATTATTCGTTGACCCTGTCCAGGTTGCAAAGGCAACGGTGTCCAGCTGAGGTCTAGCTTTATGTCTTTTCTACAGGCGTTCTGGAACAAGCTTAGATAGTCGCGGCACGCTTTTTCTAAAGAGGCTGGAGGTTGTGCACCCTCGTGCACCCGGAGACTGGCTCTGTTGTGTGTTTTGGTAGTGGCGGGGAATGCACAACTCGCAGGATTGAATTGAAGTTTGACGACTTGAGCCAGCTTGTAGACTGTTGCTGGGTCTGAATCGATCCTACAGAAAACACTGCACAAGCGGGCCAAAGCCTGCATGCACTTCGTAAAATTCAGCGCCTGAACAACGAAAGTGTGCTTTTGGGGACTGCAAACATGAAGTAGGACTCCTGACAGCTGAAAGTGCAGAAAGCATTCGCAAAAGGCTTCTCGGATTGCATTCGAGGGCATTTTTGCTGAATCACTGTGGTACAGCAGATGGTACAGCCATGTACAGCCTCGTGTCGGATTCTTTTTCAATGTGCGCCGTATTTAAAATCCAGTTCGGCCACTGGAAGGCAACAGAGACCTCATCACTTCAACATGCGTTGGCACGAAATGGTGCGACAACCTCGTTTGAGCGTGCAGTGCGAAGCTGAAATGATGTCAGCAAATCGCAAGGAAACGTTGATGCGATGTGCTGATGGGAGGGCCCCGCCATGATTGTCGCGATCCTTTCGCCCTTAGGCCTCCAGCAAACAAGGCCATCACTACACTGAAAAAGAATGTTTGGGGATTGGTTTGTTGATGGCATGCGGGTCTCATTCGCTTTATATATATATATATAGCTGAAACTGAAACCTGAAGCGCACGAAAAGATCTACTGTATCACTCTTTCTTAACCCTCCTAGAATGGCGTTCGCATAATTTCGGACGTCGTGACCTGATATAGTTTTTGCATGTTTTTGCACCTCACGCACAGCAACAAGAGAGAGTTCAGCACGGCTTGGCAGTTCATCCCGGCAGGTTTGATCAGTAAAATCAGTAAAGTTTGGTTATATTGATTCAACTTGGGCAAGCAGCGCATGTGGCCCAATGGATGTGCTCGATGCCCTTCTTCCCGAGACAAGGCTCAAAGGGCAGCGTTCTTTGATTTGGTTTGAGTTGCAGCTTTCTCGTCCGATTAGCTTCCACTGTGTTGCGCTTTGAGTTTTGCCACACCATGTCATTGATTTGGTCGTGTTGCCATTTCATGTTTAGCTTGCGCATGTGTACGCGCTTGTCTAGGAATTTGTTGGGAAACCTATCAGTTGTTCCAACAAAAGTGCGCGTAAAACGCCAAGTTCATCCAAGTTCATTTGCCTTAAAAAGGGCGGCAAGTTGGAATGGGCCATCGAAACACCTTGGAACGCTGGAAGTCTTTGAGTGTGACTATAACTTACACCAATCCATTTTCTGTTGGTTTGAGGCTTCACGTTCTTCGTTGTGTTTGCGGTGGCGCTGAGAGCCTGCCAGCACAATCTTTGAGAGCCTTATTGGCCGTCATGTGCTCAGACTGTTTGAGCACGGTTGAGTAGGTGATGTCCGTGTGCCCAAGGTATCCAAAAGTTGGTACAGCCTAAGCTTGTCCCAAGAGCGCCTTGGCCACATTTCAAAACTTGCCTTCCAAATCTCAAGAGAAATTTGTCGTCACTCTTGGTGCGTTCATTTGCGGTGAGGATTCTACCTTTTGCCAGAAACTTGCATTGCCAGCTGCTGACACCGGCAAACGTTTGCGTCTAGGCGTGCAAGTACAGCCACAAAGCCGCTTGCATGCTTTGTACCACTTTGCTTTCGAGAGAGCCCCAAGAAATGGAATCTTAGGCAAGAGGTCTGGAGAAGTGTGGCCTCCAGGTGAGCCTTTGCAAGTGACTCTTGGCTGACCGGAGCTCCTACCGCATTCCCTGTTGTTTGATGACTCAAGCTGCTGTCCCTCACCTGTCGCCCAGCCATCCGTTTAGGCACAGAACACAAGATTCTCAGCCTCTTGGGGATGCTTGGCACCAAATCTCTGAATACACTGAAGTTGCCAGCACCAACCTGAATTCCAGCCAGCCAAAAACTGGAAGTAGCAGAGCTCTCTTTTTGATCTTTTTGCACAATAGCAATGGGCTTTGGCTCCTCAATCAATCTCATTCCTGTATATATAAAGACGCCGTGCACAAGTACGTGAGATTGACGGAGATTGAGTAGAGTCGAGGACCACGATGTGCTGATCCGCTGCTTGCAGATTTGCTTGCACCGACGCTTCCAGCCAGCCTTAGAGCTTTACTCTCAACTCGAGGAGGCTGGAGGCTTCACAAAGTTAAATGTCGAGGTAGAAATGATTGCATGTTAAAATATGGTCAAACAGGTGAATCCGCAGGCCATGATTCTTTTGCCTGGTAATCTACATGTCCAGAAACAATAGAAGTGGTAGCAGCGGTGTTCAATTGGAATTGATGGATCAGAGTTCCTGTTGCTGACCCGACAACAAAGTGTGGCGACCCCAGCCTCAGGGCTGCAGTTGGATTGAGAAGTGCTTGGTGCATGTGAACCGATCTTGAGCGGACGCTGGTGAATCCACAAAAGATTCTACCAAGCAGCTAAAACTACAGACAATATTAGACAATCAGGTATTGGTATCCAATGTCCAATCCACAATGAAAAAACAGAGTTTCATTGGTATTTAATTCAAGTATATAACTATATAAATACGAGGTTTGAATTGTAACTCGACCCGTGAGGTGCCCGACGGTTGTTTTTTTCGTGTTTGACGACTGGTCGACGATTGGAAACCTATTTTCTATCGATGATCGAGCAATATATTTTAAGCGGGGTTACAATGGCGTCTCGATCTTGGGGAGCACAACAGGCATGAAAAACCCACATGAAACTTACCGTCAGTTTGACAAAGGCACGCCCGCAAAAGCTGCATGTTGCTAGGCGGCCAACCTCGAGACATGGATAAGGCAACTGGAAGAGTTCCGGCTCCAGCAGTTTCCCCAAGCCTCAGGGCCAGGTGATGCACCGCCTCCCGTGACTTGATGAAAGGCAACAGAAACCTTTTGGTTTGAGCTTACGAGAGTAGGCATGGAAACGATGCTCTCTAATTTTAGAGTATTTCGGAAGGGTGCAGACGCATGTCGCTTGCACGAGTCTTTCATATTGCTTCATGTGCCAAAAGAATCCAAAAGATCACTTCGTGATTTTCTCAAATCGCCTAAAACCGAACAGCTTAGTCTTGGTGCGCAGCTGCAACAGTGTTGCCACATGGGCGCTTGTGCGTGGTTGGTGGTGGTTGCTACAGCCACCGTGGCAGCATTGTATTGTTGTATTTTTTCCCCAGATAGCTGCAAGCTATAGGAGTTCGTACTTCTCAATGGTGCGGCGTTTCGTTTTGCCCGTGCTGGTGCAGGTGCTGGCTTTGCGTTTTCTTACCACTACCCCATTGTAGTGCCTGACCCCCCGGGGGGTCAATTTTGTAACTTACAATGTTCGATGTTGCGAGGATAGCATTATACAGCCCTATAGGGAGTGTGAAAATTGTTAGATCTAAGGAATCTAAGGTTGAGGTAGCCTATATGAGGATCTTACTTTTTTACCCCCACTCAAGAGGTCTTGGCCTACTTCTTGAGACTTTGAAAGCGGGGGGGTTTCAAAATTGTACTGGTGCTGCTGCTGGTGCCAGTGCTTGTCCCTGGCATCACATGATGTCACCCCTGGCACAACATGATTTCATCACTGGCGTGACATGATGTCGTGCATGGCATGACACCATGTCACCACGATAAACAAAGAAAAAACAATGCACACCACAAGGCAATACATGGATCAATGTGTTAGGCACCATCGGTGGGTATCGCCCCTGCCCTGACAGATGTCACCCTGGCATGACCTGATGTCATCCCTGGCAACTTGACCAATGCCTTGGCACCGCTCATTGGCAACGAAGGCTATAAGACATATGATGACATATGGTGTTTGCCCTGAGGCACTATGAGTTTTTTCCCTCCTGCTATTTGGGGTCTATGCCGGTGTAATTAGCTATTCAGGAGTGCAGTGGCAACTATTACTTTGGAGTTTTGTGCTCAGGCTATGAGCTGATCAATGCACAGTCGAACATCAAGGAGGTCCTTTGGCATCAGCCGAATGTGTACATGTTTGACCTTGCAACCCAGCAATGGTCTCGACAAGACACGACAGGCCGCCAAGCCGCACCGCGTTTCCATTTTCACTTGCGTATTTGTGCAAGTGCACTTGTTTGTTCCACCATTAACCATATCAAACTAAGTCATGGAGGGAGGAAGGAAGAGAGGCAGAGAGAAATGGACCTCGAAGGTTCTCAAAGTAATTATTGTACAGCCAGTTTTGCTGCATTGTGGAGCGTAGTAATTGCAACTGTCATGTAAATGTAAAAATGTTGATTGTTTTCATTGGCACTGCTGCGCTGCACAGGGCACACATAGCAAAACAATCAAACCACTAATATTTTGTCACTTTCCTCCAGGCTCGCCACCACCAGCTGCTCATACCTATGCTTCCGCGCACACCGTCCTGGGCAGTCGCTGGGTCTTTTGGTGCGGCGGCTACTATGGCCA